CCCCCGCCTCGCCCTGATTGACCGAAACACGCTCTGATATGCCATGATATGCCTCGCTCCGCCTACTATACCATCTGGCAAACTCGCTCGCACAAACGCCCAGGGAGTAGACATGTAAGTAAAACGCCAGAGAGGGGTAAGAGAGGAGGGTCGTGAGAAGGATTTTTTTTATAACATACATTTTTTCTTCTCGAACATTCGGGAAATACAATTTTACATGTATTTCTGACCTGAAAAGAACTATTCATTCATAGTTCTTTTTGAGTCCTATTTATAATCGCCATTCCTAATCAACCAAGCAAGCAACAAAACAACTGGAGCGTGGTGTTTAAACGCGCCCCTCCCCCACTTCCTTCTCGATCTCGGACCGAGAGTTGACAAGTTGCGTCGGGGCTTCCCCCTGCATGCTGATGAAGGCGCTGGGTCGGGCGCGGGCGGCGCTGAGTGGCAAAGAGTTAGGCGCGTGATGTCACTCCCGAACTCATGCCAACACACACGCACAAACACGTGACCCGTCGCCTCACCCGTCCGCCCACAGTGTCTCCAACCAAACCATGCACCCACCCTCTCTCTCTCTCTCTGTCTCTCTCTCTCAGTCTGTCCCTCTGTCTGTCTGTCTGTCAAATTTTGGTACTTCTTAAAATGTTTTCTTAAAATCTTGTCTGTCTGTCTGTCTGTCTGTCTGTCTGTCTCTCTCTCTCTCTCTCTCTCTCTCTCTCTCTCTCACACACACACACACACACACACATCCCCGTGAACTCGGCCCGAACGAAAATTTCGAACTTCGAAACCCGATTGAAGCCGTGGATTTTTAAGAGCGATGTGCATATGTTTGCATATGTTTGCCCGTTGTTTGACCACATTTGCCTATCCTTTAGAAAAAATTTTCCAGTCTCCATTTACAAATTAGAGCAAAAACAATTTTTTTCGTACCAACTTCACACTTTTACAAAATTACAAGATTTTAAGAAAACATTTTAAGAAGTACCAAAATTTGAAGTCCGCTTTCGTTTGTCTCTCGTTTAATCATCTTTTATCAATTATTTTGACCACGATTCCCCTAGCAGATAATGCCGAAAAACGTATTCCACTACATCGAAAAAAATTGAGAAATGCAAATTTTTTGAGTGGATTCGTTTGCCCATCATTTGACCACTTTTGTCCAGCCTCTCACCCCTCACTCATTTACTCATACACCCATCCAGTTACACCGCACCTACTCACTCATTCACCCAATAGCGTTGCCATTTCTCTCGCATTATACGGGATTATTTGGCACAATTTTAAAACTTTCTCCCATCTCCCGGTCTGCTTTTATCCGGGAGTAAGTTTCCCCTGTATTTTAACGAACAGGAGCAAATTATTAGAGAATGAGGGGGTGGGATATTTTGACGGTAGAACTATTATGTCAATCTCTGGCTCGGATTTATATGTAAAATAGTTTCAACTACACAAGAGCGAACATTTCCGGTTACGACGTTTTGTCAACAATGTTGCTGTCTTTTATCATTAACTATGTAAGTAAAGAACTGAGGATAGGGATTCAGGGGCTCAAGAAATCTTGCAGGTAAAGTATTCAGTTATTTCATGTACATTAAATTTTATCTTAGGTGTACAAATTTAATTTGTAAGAAATTAATGTACCGATAGAAAAAACGTTGGCGCTGATTATTGTTTTTTACAAAAAAATAAAGAATTAATAATAACGTGCACAAAATTAATATTTCAAGAATTCAATCAAACACGTATTACAGGTTTCTCGTAACTTTCTCATATACTCCTCCTCTATTATCACTGACATTATCAACCATCCACAGACCACCACACGGAACGTGGTACCAACAAGCCGAAATAAAATATATTTTCGACCAAACTAAAACAGAAAACCGCTTAGTCGCTTCGTATCCTATCACACAAGCGTTTTACTTCCACCAAATTCCAAACAGTTTCCTTTACCGACAATGCTACACTAAGCAACACGTTACCCAGCCAACGAGTTAAAAGCGCGCGCTCAGAAAGGTCGAGAAGGGCCCAAAAGTTTGGAAGCGCGCGCACTCTAGGCGTAACCAGGATAACGAGAGTTCAGTGTCACTCCCACTGACTTGATAAACTTATACTTCACTTACAGAACGAACAAAACGAGGCAGGAGGAGTAGGGGAAAGGGGACAAAAAAAAGGTGAAAATATACTTCGCGAGAAAGCAACAGGAAAGGACTATCTGAAGTACGCGGCAAGTTTCGGGGATTTTCTTGTTTTCTTTGGGGGGGCGACGTTTCGCGGGGAGAAAGACCCGCGACGGCCTGGCGGGGAAAGCTTTTCTCGAGTCCGAGAACGTTACTTCGCTCTCTGCGTCAAAGACCTTTCGCTCGATAAAAAAAAGGTTCGTTGCAGCCGCAGAGAGTTTTCGACTGTCAATGCCGACACTTTTGACGGGCTAATTCATGAAGCAACTTAGCTCGCCTGGGAGCTCTACCTGTTTTTCTTCGATGGGATGGCGGGGGGCTGAGACGGGGAAGGGGTGGGGAGGTGAAAGGGGAGAAAGGCAAGGGAGGATAATGGACGAAAGAGAAGGGACGGGAGGCAAAAAGCGGGGAAATTCTAAGGATTTAAAGTAGGGAAAGTCTGGAAGTCCCACTTTCAATCCGACGCTTTGATGCTCAAAAGTTTATATTCATTAACTGCACAACGCAACACGCTGATCACGAAGAATGACATTTCAAGGAAGAGTGGCGACGTAGTCGATGTAAGTGTTTGAAATAGATATTTACGCTACGAGGGTGGAAAGCAAGTATTACATTATGATGCCGACATAGGTGGCTCAGGGCATCAATTGGTGTCACTTCAGCGCCTCAGACCGGGAGGTACTGGGTTCGAGTCCTGCCCAAAGATGGCAGGACTTTCGACGCTATCTAGATCGAATTCAGTCTCTCTTTGGAGAAGAATTCTACCGGCCAGATGCTCTCATCGGTTATTTTCCCTCGTGACTCCGATCAACACCAGGCGAATGCCGGATCAGTACCCTACCAAACGAGCCACCAACCGCGCGCGATCTTTCCTTTCCATTCCTTGTCCCCTACCCCTTACACACGTACACACTTACATGTACATGCCGGTAGATCAATCGGAAGCTTAGAGCTTGTCCCGGCTGGGGAGGTGTCCTGCTGGCGGGAGATACCTGGCTGGGGAAACCACGTTAAAGCACGTGTAGGACAGCTCCAGATCTCACCATCCAGCGTGGAAAGATCACCTCCATCTCCCGAGGAAAACACACGCACTACACTCACGAGACTAATGCCCTTAGCGTCCGGTATCACCAATCGAACAACGAAAGAAGGTTCCTGCCGAGGCATTGATAGACGATAAGGCTAGAAATTCAACAGAGCAATGCAACACTTTCCTCTGCGTGGTGTAGTACGTTTTATTCCATACTACAAAGCTTTTGTATGTACTCCATTCACGGCTAGGTTTTTATTAGCGTAAATTACTGTTCCGTTGCAAGAAATCGTTCACAAAATGGCATATTTGGGTACAGTTCCTCCTCCCTGCCAGTTCTATTTCAGTGCGGCAAAGTAATTTCAGAGCGGAAAGTAATTTCAGTGCGGAAAGTAATTTCAGTGCGGTGAAGAACCACTTTCCAAAAAGCTGTATTCGAGGCGAGAAACAAAATCCGATCTAGTAGGGAATGAAATATATTCCAATCAATTACAAAATACAGCAGGCTCTCAAACACAATCTATTTCGTTCCGTTCAAACAGCAGACGCAAAAAAGGAAATGTATATCCAATTCATGTAATATTGTTATCAGAATTGCCACCACATCAACATTTTATTTCCGTAACTTTAATATTTACCCGTTTCCTTCGAACGAATCAGAGAGGAAAGTGGGGGTAAGATAATCCATGTTTGCAACCCATCCATCCAAATCAATGTTCGCATTCCTGTCATCTCTTTAATGTTTAGAGTACGTATTCGTCGACGGAATAATGTAACTAACCAGTCATGAGGAAGACTGTATCCCAATGGAGACGGACTGATGATTGCACACGCATTGCATTGCAATTTATTCATGTGAAGGTGAAAAAGGCTCCCTTAAATTTTATGTATTACGTTATGTTCGAAGGGCACTAATACATTCATCAATGTTTTTTTATAATGATTTTAT